AGTCTCGCTTTGTTTCCCGCTATCAATTGTTTCTCTCTCTCTCTCTCTCTCTCTCTCTCTCTCTCTCTCTCTCTCTCCAGAGTCTCGCTTTGTTTTCCGCCATCAACTATAGGGCACATTCTGTGTCATCTCTCTCTCTCTCTCTCACCCAGACTCTCTCTCTCTCTCTGTCTCTCTCTCTCTCTCTCTCTCTCTCTCTCTCTCTCTGAAGTATCCTCATAAGCGTCTCTTCCTCTGTTTTGGTGAATGCGACAATTGAGGCCTTGTAGCCATATGGTTGCGTACTGGGGGCCATATAACCACCTCAATGCATCGCTGTCAGAAGAATTGGCACCCACTTCCCAACTCTTTCTAACCGATCGACACGAACTTTTTTTCTCTGCAGTTGAGAACGCTATATGTTAAGTTCAATTTGTCCTATTTCTCTCTCTCTCTCTCTCTCTCTCTCTCTCTCTCTCTCTAGAGTCTCGCTTTGTTTCCCGCTATCAACTGTTTCTCTCTCTCTCTCTCTCTCTCTCTCTCTCTCTCTCTCTCTCTCTCTCTCTCTCTCCAGAGTCTCGCTTTGTTTTCCGCCATCAACTGTAGGGCACATTCTGTGTCATCTCTCTCTCTCTCTCTCACCCAGACTCTCTCTCTGTCTGTCTCTCTCTCTCTGTCTCTCTCTCTCTATTTCTGTCTCTCTCTCTCGCTCTCTCTCTCTCTCTCTCTCTCTCTCGACGTGTTCCTGTGGTAGTAGTTGCAGACACGCAGTACCACCACGTCTTTCACCATGTGTCAACTGTCTGAAGAACAGGAGTGCCAGTCCGGGATAGGTTTCGAAGGTCCTCAGCACGAAGCTCGTGATTGTGTGTGTGGCACCAACACTTCGAATTCAAAGTCTTGTGCGTTGTCGCTGTTGTTGTCAACCGCACGCATGTCTCTCCTTGTGTTCCCTGCTCTGCAGTACCGTGTCACCACATCTGCCACATGGGTATCGGTGTGGAGCTTGAAAATGCGGACATTCATAACTGTGTCTCGGCTCCGGATTGTGTTCACTATGTCATTCTTTATACTGGCCATTAGCAGCAACTGATCTGACGCCTTGCTTGACTTCTTCGTTGCTCGATTTCTGTGCGGATCACAAGTTCGGTAAATGCTAGTTGCTGCAACGTCACGCCCAACTTCTCACCGTCTTTTCTTATTTGGAACACTTTTGTGAGTGTCTTCTTGAAATGTGACGCTCACCATGGCTCCTCGTCCCTCCTCCTCCACGTTTTGTCTTTGCTCATCTGGCAACCCAGTTCGTTGCGCATGGTGTTATTGTGATCCGTCTGTGCACCGCGTACGAGGGGGACACCTCTCTCTGCCCAGAACCAATGTCTCAAGTGTCAAGACAACTCTCCGCGGACCGTTGTCATCATTCGGTTGCACTCTATAAGCACATTCCCCAAACCCTTCTTCTGTACATGCTTCCCCCATCCTGCCCTTACATCTTCTCCCAAAAGGGTAGCAGCCAACTGCACCGCATTGAAGAAGTCATCCTCAGAAGGGTAGAAAGTTGCGTCCTTCGCTGTTGAGTGCACAAAAGTTTTCGCGACGAGCCTCAGCAGTCTGTCTTTTTGCTTTTTCCCAAATAATTCGCTTTCCTCTCCTGTGGCAACCCCCGATTGCTTGGCCACTTTCGTGTCGTCCTTGCGCTGTCTCCCTCCTTGTAATATGCGCCGGCCTGCAATAACACGCGCGAATACCCACAAGTTTGAAGTTGTTATGCACCCCATTCGCACAATGACTTCACATGAGAAACAACTGCAAATGTGGTTAGTTATTTGCAGCGTATCTCAGATTTTCTTATCCCACAAAACATACAGTTCTCTACCATTTTGCACGACGTCCACACAATGACAACAGTTCGAGCGAAACAACATGTCGAGTGACCATTTGTCGTCAGGTTTTTTTTTTTTTTTTTTTTTTTTTCCTTTCCGCGACAATTCTGTACTTACGTCCTTCGTTTGCCTTCTCCTTCAGGACTAACTGCTTGTCCGCGTTGTTTTCCTCGCTGCGTCGGTCACTTATTCCTCCATGTGTTCTTCGAGGCGTGTTTTGTGTATTGTCTTCGCTACATCTTTCTTCCGTGCCGCTGCTCCGGGATCGGTGTTCCTCCTCTTCATCGTCGTCATTGCCATCCTCGTTGTTGCGGGACGCACTGTCGCTGTTCTCCTCTTCGTTGCTCGCATCTCCTGCGTACGATTCTCCTTCGTTGCATGTGCCCTCGCTACGTCCACCGCTGCCCTCGGTATTATCGTGCGGGTCAGACTGTTGTGTCTTCCGGACTGCGTCCCGTGACACGTCTCGTTTTCCGGTGTCGCCTACCTCGACACCATCGGAACCCCTCAGATCAATTGCCTCCTTCTCCTCTCCCACCCCCTCAATGATTCTCCTCCTCTTCGGATTTTCGTGCGCCGAGGTTGATCTTCCACCCCTTTTGCACATGACATTTTCCTTGGCGCCCATTGCGGGGATCGGTTGTGTCGTGTGCGATTCTTCACGGAGGCCGGCGAGGTCGGGGCCGACTCTCGTTGTCGTTTGTTGCCTTCAGACTGTTTCGCTTTTTGTGGCTTCGTGACCGCAACACAGTCCGCTCGGGACTTCATCAAAGGTGATGTCTTACTTTTTCCCTGGGGGACGTCTCTCGATTTTCCTGTTCTCTTTCCTAACTGCAGTCTGTTTGCTCTGCCATGCTGGTGGCTGTCTTTCCTGTACTTGCAATAAGGATGAGGCAAGATCTTCGTACCTCTGGCGGGGTGTCATTGCAAAGCTACATGACACACACAACATTCCAGTTATGAGCTTTTTACTCAAACGCTCCATCATGTATAGACCACTTTACAATGCGATTCGGCCTGAACATTCTTTAAGGAGATAGATAGATAGATAGATAGACAGATAGATAGATAGATAGATAGATAGATAGATAGAGGGAGAGAGTGAGAGAGAAAGAGAGAGAGAGACATGTTTCTCATATTATATATTGACAGGGTAAGATATCTTGTTCATGCAAGAAAAAAAAAAAAAAAAAGTGGCGCATTCAATATTGTTCTTAAACTTCCTCTTAATATACACCTTCAGTCCTCCTCCGTTTCTCGAAATCATGATCCCCCCCTAGCCCCCCATCATCGTCCCGCCGGCATGCCACATGCGCCCTTGTCTAAGGCAGTTCGCCACCGTCTTTTCTTATCTTCGCTCTAATCGCACGAGCTAGCGTGCGGTGTGCTCCAACACTCTTGTGACCTTTTGCTGCTGATGCGCACTTTGCAATGCGATCGAGAGCTCTGACGCTGAAGTCTCGAACAGTTCTTTCATCAATGTGCATCTTCTCTACAATCTCCAGTACGTCGTCTTTCGAGATGTCATTCCGTGTTGGGGGATGTGCAAGTTTAGTTATCAACTCTTCTGCCATGCAACATACATACACACCACAATCCTCTCTGTTACTTTGTTGTGAACACCTCGCATGGATGAGTCCACGACCGAACACGTCTCTGCAAGTGTTCCACGACTTGTCCACCAGTTGCCGTGTGACATCCGGACCCCTTCTATTGTCGTTGAGGTACTCGTGCCACAATAATGTACGCAACGCCTTCCAATCCGGACTTGTATACCCGTGACATGAGTCGACGATAATGGCATTGGAGCATGTACCGTCGGTCCAAAACTCCCTTACATTCAACAATATGAGCAGCATCCAATGATGCTTGTGGTTAATTGGAATAAGCACAACCGGTGCAAACTCGAGGTCTTTACACTGTCGAAGGACTTTGGTCGTCCGACTCTTCACACGCAATTCCCATCCCTTTTTTGCTGTGTCACATTGTTGATTAGCGAGCAATTGCGGATTTCAAAACGTTGTGCACACATGCACTTCTGCGGTGTCCTTACCTTAACATTGCTCTTCGTATACTGACTGCAAATGCATGTCCATTACATTGTCATTGAGCCACTTCCCAACGGCCGAGCACATCACATCGGCCTCCCACAGTCGAATCTCCTCCCTTCTGCCTTTCCATGTCAGTGGATATATGTTGGACTCGTCAACTACCTCCAACCCGTCCGTCGAGCTTGATGTGTTCTCGCCCTTCTTTCCCTGTCTCGTCTTCCCACACGACTCTGAACGTCCCAGATCCGCTGACCGGATTGTTCCCCTTGTCGCATACAAGTACATCCAATTGTACCACGGGTCCTTCCGTGACAGGTGCTCCCATCTCTCCAGCATAGCCTCCATTGTCATTATTCTGCAATTCGCCGCTGTCCTCTCTGTTGTTTCTTCGGCTTCTGTCATTGTGGCTTATAGGCTCTTCTCCGTGTGCATCGCACCCTTGTCTAGGTTTTGCATTTCCACTTCGCTGCGCTCAACATGGTCTTCTTTCCTCGGTATTGTTTTCTCTCGATTACTCTCTATCGTGACGTCGGCTACTCTCTCACGACCAGGGTTGTTCCCTTCTGTTGTCCGCATTCATGCTGTTCTTGATCGTTTCCCTCTTCTCGTGGTCACGTCTTCTGCCACTGCTGATAGGTCAGTGTTGTTCCTCGTAATGAGTGACATTCTACCTGTGAACAAGCCAGCAGCATTTTCACGAGCTTTTTAGCGTCAGTTTCGGTTGTCGTTCCTTGGTCAAGCGATGACAGGGCTTGGAGAGAGAGATAGAGAGAGAGAGAGAGAGAAAGAGAGTTGGGTGGTGGGGGTCATAAAGAGGTGGCATGTGAGCGGTGTTCCTTTGATTGGCAAGTACTACCCAACCGGACTCTGTTGTCACCGTTCAGCGCCGCGAGCGACATATCACAAAACAAATCTGTTCAAGTAAAAAGTGTCGTCACGTTGTCTTCCATATGTTGATGAACCCCACTTCGGTTTTGCAAAACATGGAACAATGTGTACAGTGTTTGTGATGCTGTCAACGAAGATGACGCTGCATAGCTGGCGACCATTTATCACTTTCCATTTCAGTTTTTTGCACCCTGTCACATTTGCTCTTTCGGTGTCTGTCTTTTTGTACCATTTCACAAAGGCGCACTCGTGTGTGGTGGACACTCCTTCCGTCCAGGTGTTCATAACAAAAAACATTGCCACAGATGCATACCACATACTTCCTGTCTGTGCCTTCACAGACACATCACTGTGCACCGCTTTCCCGTGGAAGTTGGGTGAAGCCCTCGCAGTTTGCACAAGTGCGCCCCTGGTTGTTCCATCGCCTGTTGCTACGATGGCAAGATGCGTTCTAGTGCGTATTAACATGTCCTCTAGCGGTGGATTGCACCCGTTTTCCGACATGTACGTGTGAAGAGCTTCTCGAAATAACTCCTTGCATGGGAGGGCATCCAATATTGCTTTCGCGGTTCCCGTCGCACCTTCGTTCCCATTTGTTCCTGCATTTTCTCGGGGGAAATATCGGAGTTGCATCTTTGTCGTGTCGCGTGCGGCAAGTGTGTTCATTCCACGTGCCGAGCACTCCATGACCGACGACCAATTTTCAGTTGTCCTCTTCCTGTGTTTCCGTGCACGGTCAATGTCGTCGTCGAATGCGACTGTCCTTCGCACGTGATTTACCATTTGAAACGAGGCTTTGCGCTTGTTCGACGACAGGAAAGACTGTTTGCAAAACTTCTGGTGGTGGTGCTCCCAAACATCGGTCGCGAAGCTGTCGGAGACTTGAACGTTCGATGCATGCCCTAAAATGCAGAAGGTCATGTAACTTCGGCACTTTCCAGTTGGAGGTTTGATAACGACCCAGGACCTGTTTGAGGGTTGTTATGAAGTGCGTCATCAGATTGTCACATGCGTCAAGCGAATGACTTGAATGCTTTGTGCACCGGAACATTGAGATGTACAGTTCCATTAGTTTCTTGAAACAAGATGTTATTCGTTTCCCTACTGAACCGGGGACTATGTTGGACACTATGAATACGCACACTGTCATGACCGACCGGTTCTGCTTAGCTTCGAAACGGCCCTCTCGTGAAAAGTAGTCGCAACCTGTTGCAACAGGTAGCACAAGTTGTGGATACGTAGTACTGCTTCTCTCGCTCAACGTCTACAACCTCGCATCCAACTCCTTCAACAAATGGCTTTGTGGGACGTGACTTAACTTGTCAAAGGCCGCTGCTTTGAAAGCGTCTAACATGTGCAAAAAAATGTCGTGCTCAATGGTGTGCATGCGGTCTGGTTGCAGAGCCAGGTGGTAGTCGAACATGGGATCATCGTTTTCAGGACCTCTATAAAAACCCCACAGGCCGTTCTCTTTCACATGCGTGTGCATGTTCAAGTTCGACAATTGTGTCTTCGCCAAGCGACGAACATCATCGTTGTCTGTCGTGTGGAATTCAGTTAGAAGTGCACGTTCCCTGCTTTGTGATCGACGACAGTTATTGAAGTCCACAATGACATCAAAATGTGATTTTGACACTGTGCATATCGCGCAAACACCGTATCGAACCGTTGTGATGGCGCACCTCTCAGGGTAATCTTGAATATAATTCAGCAGGAAAGGGTGCACTGTTATTTCTCCCCAGCGCTCATCGTCATAAACAATGTCATCATGCGACGCGTGCTTCGCAGCTTGCAACACCGCAGACAGAGTTGAGTGCAATATGACGGCTTTGCGTTGCCTGAACGCGGTGCTTTGCAAACCCCATCCCTTGTCTCCTGGGCGGTGATGGAGGACAGGAAGATACGCGAGAAGTGTCGCGTCATGTGCATGGTCACCTATTGACATCATTAATGGATATGCTGTCTGTTTCTGCCGTCCATCTACATGTGTCTTGTCAGAATACAAAGAGATTGGGACTGCATACCGTGTTCTGCAATTCTTATCTACGCCTTTGTGCGCTCTGGTGACGGACTGCACGTGATGCCACAATGCTCTACAGCGAGTGCTGTCTATTGTGGGTTCTGGCTGGGGGGGGGGGGCGAGAGACATGACACCGTTTCCATGTTCCTCGTCGCTGCTTTGATCAGTGACGTGAAAGTCGTGCGCCAATCTCGGTACCACAACACGGCATGTGCATCCGATGGCCAGTCATCACTTCTGAGATCTATCTCCCTCCACCCGTTCATCTCTGCCTGCCTGCTCGTCCAACGTAAAAACTCACGGCTGATGCGGTACACGATTTCCTGCGGCGAGAAGCTTGGATCTCTCAGTACTGAAAAAAGAGTGTCGATGTCGTTAAGTGACATCCCTAAGCCACCCCTAGAGGACAACATGATCGCATCCAGTCTGCGGGATATGTCAAACGCCCGCACGTTGGGGGGATCTTCCTCGGAACCACGTTCCATTTCGGCTTCCACAGCGAGGTCGACGATGTTCTCTCCCAGACCATCGCCATCCGGCGCGCCGTCCTCCCCCTCGGATCTGTTGTCCCAGCTCTGTCTATCGTCATCGTTTGATCTACGACTCGTTGGCACCGGACATGCCCTCGCACGATGAGAGTTTAATGTCCTTAATGAATTGAAAGGTCGACCGCATTCACACACCATGTGGTCGTCCGTCATCTGCTCTGTCGACTATACAGGATATGAAATGCCCTCACACCTACAATGCCAAACGCTTTGCACGCACAATGGACTTACTACTTGGCCCTTCCGCGAAGTTCGTTTTTTTATCCTGCCTCGCTACCACAAACACAACAATAAGAATACACGTTCAGTGTTCCATTCCTAACTGAGCACCGAAAAGAGGAATCCCGCTTTTCCAGACATACCACTGCATCTCCTGATGTTCATTTCCATTTATATTTTATTCACCTGCCAATGAGCCACAACACCCTGCGGCAGAGTTTTGAGCTGTGGTCATTGTGGACACATCATCGCAGTCGCTTAACCGCACCAACACTCACGAGAGAGAGAGAGAGAGAGAGAGAGAGAGAGAGAGAGAGAGAATCACACAGTATCCCTACAGTATCACACAGACTCGCATAGTCAGGTATGCATAAACATCATGCGATATTAACAAAGCTGCAAAAGGAAAATCCCGCTTTTCAACACGGTTGGGTAGTGGGTGCCACTTCTGTCGTAAGACGGCAACGACGTCTTCAAATACGACCCCACCTTCCCAACCACATCGTCATAAGCAATCGACATGTGATATGGTTAAAAGAATATGTAATCTATGTGTGTGTGTGTTTGTGTGTGTGTGTGTGTGTGTGTGTGTGTGTGTGTGTGTGTGTGTGTGTGT